ACTCGCGTAAAAGCTGTTTTATTACGTTTATTGATTTAATGTCTTTAATTATAGCTCGTTGACGGCGGCATCTATTTTAGCGGGGAAAGATTGCAAGTATTCGCGTCAGGTAGCCATACTCCAAGATGACAAGCTGAAAGGCAAACCCATAGATAAAGATTCAATCGATTCATGAAGAGAACAAATCTGTGAAATCGAACTGTCATACCGCATATAGTTTATATCATGCAGATATGTATGTATTATAGATATACCTGCCAACAATGCCGCACGTTTACTGGGTAAAGCCTGCAGCACACAAGAGCTATCTGCTGAGCAAAAAGTTACTCGTGCCTGTTAGCTTAGCCGATACATAGCTCACCGTGTGCGCGTACATTTTACTGAGTTTTTGCCTCATGCAACCTTTTCTCACGTATCAAACATGTTTGATCGGTCAGCGATCAGCTGAGCTAATAGGCACGAGTAACTTTTGGCTCGGCAGATAGCTCTCGTGTACTGCAGGCTTGAGTAAACGTGCGGAATTATTGGCAGGTATATCTATAATATACATATCTGATATAAACTGTATGCGGTATGACAGTTCGATTTCACAGATTTGTTCTCTTCATGAATCGATTGAATCTTTCTCTATGGGTTTGCCTTTCAGTTTGTCATCTTGGAGTATGGCTACCTGACGCGAATACCTGCAATCTTTCCCCGTTAAATTAGATGCCGTCGTCCTGAACGAGCTATAATTAAAGACATTAAATCAATAAACGTAATAAAACAGCTTTTACACGAGTAAAGTGTCGACGCGTTGTTCAATATATTGCCTATATAGGCTATAATCTTAGTCTTAGATTCAAAGAAAGGCAACTAGCCACGATATGAATATTATTAACGATGCTCGTGAAAGCTCTATGCATACACGGCACATGCGAATGCGATATATAATATTATCGGCGCAAACCAGGCTAACAAAGCCAATTTTATACTCATAGGCACCATGGGAGGGAGGATGATGACATCGATCGATATCAAATGAATAGCCGCAATGTACCATACCTCCTCTCTCCTCCACAGAGGCTTTTAAAGAATATGAAATTCGACTGAGGAATTGAAATTGCGCTAGAAGGTATCTGGTATGAATACCTTCTAGCGCAATTTCAATTCCTTCGAATTTCATATTCTTTAAAAGCCTCTGCGGAGGGGAGAGCCATACCTCTAAAATCACTCTCGATAGTCGGTACAAAGTAAACAAATTCTGTTTTAATGCCCTTTGAATATTGATAAATAGTAAAATAAGTTACCTGCATTGGCATTATAAACGCAGTCTAGTGACTAGCGTCTACCAAGTCCAAATTTGTATCCATTTTCAAATTTTTCATGCATAAATCTTTGTGAAAGCGAATTCAGACTGACTATAAGCCACACTGTATTCATTTATTAACCGTAAGTTCTTCGCTATGTCGTTATGACCGTTGTGTGCCATCGATATAATGGTTGAATCGATTTCCATTACCATGCAGTTCTGTTTATATTCTGCCGGACTAGACTTTGGAATATGAACACACACGCATGGAAACTCAGAATTCAAATTAAGATTATGAATCAAGCTCAACCAATCAGGAAGTAACAATTGACAACAGAACATATGTTTGACGACAACCTCCTCTGAGTTGTTTCAACGCGGTGAGTTCAAATTTCAAAGTATGGCCAGACTGGTCGTTATACTATTTTGCAAATTTATGTTGTCGATACAAGAGAAAGACTAAATCAGACAGAGAGCTATGGGATATGAATTGAGATACGCCTGTAAGATGAAACGCGCCACCAGGTAAATCATAGTTCTATTTATCATAAATTGTATATTGCGAGAATTATGAATTAGTAATTTTATATTCATGCATATGTTGCGAATATATTAATGTGCACAATTCGCTAAACCAATACGTGACAACTGCAGATCATTTGCGGTTTGCACTGATATTAATTATAACCAGTGTACCGCACTTATTTACAATGTATACCAGCTTATTATTAGCTCTATTATTACTTTATTAATAGATCTTGACTACCAACAAAACTCTGACTGAATCATACAGGAGCGTTATCTCTTAAAACTTGAATTGTACTGATTTTATATCAATTTTCATTCGTACGTACTACGTTGTGGAGCGTGTATATATATAGGCCCTTCAAGACCTTCAAATGCATTACACTTCATTTAACTATAGTAAATTATCTCTGGGTTAAGTTTATTTTCAACGCGTCGAAACCTTATTCATATTTTTTCTAGTTCATTATTGTTTATAGCCACTGTACATGGCAATAGCATGGCTAGTCAGAAATATTTAGTGTGAATATTCAACTACACTCATGCTGTGTAGATATATGAACAAACGACAACCTTGCCGCTTAGCTATGTCACTGAATATAATGGTTGGTTAATATTATATAGCCGATTTTGACAAACTCGAACCGATTTCGCTGTCTGCAATTCTGCTATAGCATGCATTTATCTGGTTGGTTTCGCTGTCTGAAATTCAGCTAGTAGCCTACCTAAAATATATCTCAAAATATATTTTGACAAGCTCAAACCGACTTCGGTGTCTGAAATTCAGCTACACTGTACCTATCTTTAGGTGGTATTTATATATGATTATTTTGGCAAATTCAAACCGTTTTCGGAGTCTGAAATTCAGACACCGAATTTATCTCAGTCTGCATGGTTGGTATTTATATATGATTTTGACAAACTCAAACCGTTTTCGGTGTCTGAAATTCAGACACCAAATTTATCTCAGTCTGCATGGTTGATATTTATATATGATTTTGACAAACTCAAAACGTTTTCGGTGTCTGAAATTCAGACACCCAAATTTATCTCAGTCTGCATGGTTGATATTTATATATGATTTTGACAAACTCAAACCGTTTTCGGTGTCTGAAATTCAGACACCAAATTTATGACAGTCTGCATGGTTGGTATTTATATATGATTTTGACAAACTCAAACCGTTTTTGGTGTCTGAAATTCAGACACCGAATTTATCTCAGTCTGCATGGTTGGTATTTATATATGATTTTGACAAACTCAAACCGTTTTCGGTGTCTGAAATTCAGACACCCAAATTTATCTCAGTCTGCATGGTTGGTATTTATATATGATTTTGACAAACTCAAACTGTTTTCGGTGTCTGAAATTCAGACACCCAAATTTATCTCAGTCTGCATGGTTGGTATTTATATATGATTTTGACAAACTCAAACCGTTTTCGGTGTCTGAAACACACCGAATTATATTTATATCTGACAGACACCGAATTATATTTATATCTGACAATGGTTGGTCTATTTATATATATGAGTGATAATCTGAATCCAGTTTAAGTCATGTAAGCATATGAATACTGCAAATTTTCAATTTAGCATTAATAATTTCAGAATGGTGTCTCGTTTAGACAAAAATGTTGTTTTTTTGCAGAGTCTCTGCCAAAAAATAGTATTTCGATTTGCTAAAATGAAATCTTCGCTCTTTTTGTTATTTTTTTTAATTTTTGCAGAAAAAAAAATAGTTTGGAATTATTGAAAATAGTTTGGAACGCGTTACATATAGTGTATACATTTCACCTACCAATTTGATACGGGGACGGTTCCGTTCAAGCGAGACATAAGCAGCTGTCTTCTCTCTTCTTCGGCACTTCTCTCTTCGTTGTATTGAGCTATCCAAGCTGGATCAGCAATCGGTTCGCCTTGGTAAGGTTGTAAGCCACTGGTCTTCATCGCTTTGTGTTGAGCTGTCTGGGAGGCTGAACCGAGGGCTGAACTGCATCATCTTCGATTTCCATTATATAATTTGGTATTTTTAATTCATATCCGAATCAAGTTGGCTGTCCGTATTGTCGGAAAAACCTGACGACATTGTTTAAACGAAACGTTAACCCAAAATGTTATTAAACGGAAAAAATCGGACGATATTTTGGACTAAAATTCTATACTGTTTTATTGTTATGATACTTTGCAAGATTAGCGTGTTCTCATTCTTACGTCACTTCCGGCGGGTTAACGCCGATTAGTTAGCAGTACTTTCAAGCTCGCTGTAATTCGAAAAATCACCAACTTTGAGGCCCAAAACGTCCATGAAGATCAAATTTTCGTCTAGTCGAATATATTGCAAATGTTCTTAAAATCGTCTAAACTATCAGGAAAAGTCATTTCCCTGACCCTGATATAGGCACTTTAAAGGAGCAGTGTCACCATCTGCGCATCTTTACTGCGCACGCGAAACTTGAAAAACTACATCCTGTAGTTTTTCAAGTTTGTTTTTCCAAGATGGCGGATGCACATGGCGAGACGCACGGCGGTAAACGCCGCAATTCTGGCCGAAAAAGAAAACACAGCGGATCAACTAGTTCACAGTTAAACTGGAACGCTCGACATAAAAGACTTTACTTATCTATCAAAATATTTGAGACGTGGAAAGAGTCCAAAATCGTTGCTGGATACGGCTCAGGTACCGATAGTGATTTTGCCGCACATTTGCTCTCGCTGGAATACCGTAGAAGGTAAGCATTATTTGTATATTTGATTCATTTCTTTAGTTATTCGCATAGTATATGTTGCTGATATTAGTCTACATTGTTCTATTTCAACGCAGACAGTGAAAGCATTTGGAACAAGCAAACGAAACTAGTCTTTCCCTATCTCCCTAAACCACCACATCAACAAGGTCGGTTAAAATTATACTAACTGTTTACGTCTATGTCTGGAGATCTAAAGAAAGCAATACATTACTAGAGTAATTTGTAAACAACCTAAATATATTTAAATATGTGACATATAACATTTGCAATACCAAATATATTTGGTTGTATTTAAAGTATAAATATATTTGTTTAGAAATTACAACTTCCACCCCTGTGAAGAGAGGTGAAAATTTGCCTGATTCCTCTGCTATACTTGAGTCCCCAATCTTGCTAACTATAAAAGAACCATTGACACTAGATTACTGTTTGGAAATGGATGCCAATTCAACTTTGTCAGAACATCATGGAAGGTAATTGTACTATACTTGTACTATAAGACTCATGTGTACTTTGTTTTCAATTGAGTGTAAAAAGGTCTTGAAACTCTTGATTGGAGTGATTTCATATTGTGACCACTATATTTTTTGAAATATAGGTCCACAATTGAACAATTAAATACATCTTTGTTCACTGATGATGAATTAGAAACTAGCAGTGAAGAGAACAGCTCTGATTATGACTTCAGGTAACTAGTAGCAGTATGTGTAGTGCACTAAACAAACTCTGTCAGTCTATGGTTTGGCCTGTGCAACTTGTGTATAGACATCCATCCGCATTAAGTGACTAATTAATCCTTTCAGCTTTTCATGTTATGATATTCATCTTTATTTAGTGTTCGTTCATGTATTTTGTCTTACAGAAGCAAATGTGTAAAGGATTAATGTCTGCAATTTGTTGTTGATTTACACTGCAACTTGTGTTTAACGCAAAAACATGTATTTTTCAGAGAACCCGACCAGTCGGCTATGCTGGAGTTGGATGATGAAAGAGGGTTGGATGATGAGGAGGAGACAGAGGATGAAATGTATGTACAGTATTAATTAAGTAATAAAAAAAACATTATTAATACTTGTTATTTATCAGGCCTTAAAATATCGGTCGGTCACGGACATTGTCCGACCCATTCGTGAAATTGTCCGACGTAGAAAGGAAACCACCGGACATTCTGTCCGACCAAAGTGAAACTGAGGTTTATTGTTTGTCCGACCCGAGTGTATTGGTGTCCGACCGAACTGTAGCTTTGTCCGACGTAAATGTGCCCTAGCCAAGGACTAGAGGCTTGTATGTTAAATGGAAAATCAGAGTACTATTGTATAAAAGGTCAACTGGAAATGTTGTTTTAACATAGACGAACGTGGGGCGGCAAGCGAAATGGTGAAGTGGAAAACTGGCTTAAGTTGTCGAAGTCTTTTTTAATACTGCTGTTCTGGAAAGCAAGTTAATTCTGGCTTGGAAATAAGTATGAAAGAAACAAATTATTTAATATCTTTACAACATTTACCGTTTATTCATTTGTGTCATTCAGACTTATTTCCGAGTCAAAACTGAACTGAAGGTCATCGCCTCATCGGACATATGTCCGACCCAAACTCAAGGTCACCGGACATTTTGTCAGACGGCCCTGTAAAAGATATTTTAAGGCCTGTATTTATTATTAAACATTGCAAAGTATATATGAGACATAATTATTATATATGGTCTTCTGGTGTCAGGTAGCATACTGTAACTAATAAGTCATCAATATCTACTTATAGGCCAACAAACTTCAACTATAGCATGGATATTGACGAGTAAGTAAATATTCGCAACATTTACAACCAAATGGATACCAGGCTTATTAAGCAAATTCCCTGAAATTTAATTGCACCCCCCCCCCTCATTTTCTTGAAAAAAATTAATAGCCCCCCTTCTAGTCATTTATTTATACATATGCCCCCCTTATTTTTGCCTTCCCCCTGTCCATAAATAATAACCAGTCCCTAAGAATATAAAAAATATGAGTGTATATATCCATAGTTAAATTAGCCTTTCAAAGCAAATTTCAAAGAAAGTTGAAAGAGAGCCTGTTCGCAGGCTATACTGTAGTTGAATTTAAAGTATAGTGTGCGAAATGTGATGCAATTACACGTTGCTATGTATTTTCTTTTGTTATTTCTCTGTTAGCAGTCCATTAGAAGAAAGTGAAGATGAGAACAATGATGTTGATCCCCCTGGTACCAAGTTTGATGATCCCTTAACTACTAAAGATTGCATCATTGGTCATGGGCCACATCCTAAACTAAGTCGGGGGGAAGAGATATACAATGTTGAGCGGGAATTCAAAATAGCGAATGAAAAAAAGTTTATATGTTCAATTGACTTGCTGATTTGCATGTTTCAAGCTCGATGTCAGACACCTGGTTGTGACAAAAGTCCTGAAGTAAACTATCATTTTATTGGGCCAACTGTCATTGTAAACTAGAAATTGTAGAAAGTGTGGCTAGACATGTTTCCCTAAATGACAGTGACCCAGCACTAATTTCCCCAACCATTGCCCATATTCCCCCGGTACCCACCAAACAAATTGTTAAACGAAAGAGCAGATTTTCAAAGGACTCTGAATAGTTGTAAATATTACTTTAAATATATATAAGAGGTTCTAATATTTCCTTGTGTGGCTTGCATTCCAGTCAGTTCCCACCAAAGAAATTGTTCAATGAAACAGCAGATTTTGTAAAGATTGCTAATTGGATATTTTACATATTTCGTTAAATAAATAATAAATAATGCAACATTGAAATACAATAATTAAAAGAACAATGTGGGTGGGAAAATAGAACATAAAAGCTGTTTAGTTGTCAATGTTTAACAATGGGGCATTACAAAAAAACTTTACAAAAAAGTAATGCGATGTAGAAGGCAAAAATTACCCTTCCCTATCCCATCACTTTTTAATGTTTAATATTGAATACCCCTGGGGTCGGTTGTTCAAAATTGGGTTAGGCTGACCCTGGATTAAAATTTAACCTGCAGTTTTAGTTTGTGTATAGAAGTAAACTCCTATCGATCCAGACAAGATCTCTGCAGAAATATTTCCAAATTTATAGACAAGCTGTCAGGACGTTTGCTTTGAATTTTACGTTAACCTAGGATTAAGCTAACCCAGCTTTGAGCAACCAACAAAAAGTGGTGTCAGTGTTCCCTAAATCCCATATATACACCTGTTACAGATGGATATTGTGCCCTTATCTTTAGCACCACACAAGAGGGACACACTCGCCTGTTTCCTTTGCCTAAATAGCCATATCGTGCAAGTGTAAATTGCCGGTATGCTGCTTTCCTGAAAGCTCTGGTGCTGGTATCTTCCCTGTCGTTTCTGATGTCTCCAGTATTGCGAATGCACAGCTCCAGTACATCGGGGTCAAGACACAGCTTGGTAAATCTCGATGACAGGGTGATACACTTCTTTTGACAGCAGCATTTGTTTTCTACCTCTTGGGGCATAGGTCGACATTTCCCGCATTTACACCACTCTGGTAATTCTGCTGGTGGGGTATCATCTTGAGACGGACCCTGATTCTGTGTCATACTACTAGAGCCTTCTATATCTTCATTCGCATTCGATGGAACATTGCTTGGACATTCTGATGATTCTCCAAACTCACCCATCCTTTCACTTCCATCAGCTTCATCAAGATCATCTTCCATTATTAATAATGTGTTTACGTAGTCCATACTTCCAATTCCACGACGAAGACTACGGATGGCTAGTTTTTTTGCCATATTTTCATCTAGCATGAATATAAATCTCTAAAATAAACAAGGACTTTATTACAACAGCATGTTGTGATAAACCTTTTTGAGTACTTTTTAAAAGGCCATCCAGGCAACAGGTAA